CCCCAAAACCCCAAAACCCCAAAACCCCCTTTGGTGATAATCTTCATTAAATTATGAAATTTGAATTAGTTAATATTTGTGAAGTATTACAATAAATGAACATTATTTCAATTAATCATCAATAGTCTTCTTATACTTATATCAATTTAAACTCACTTAAATCTTCAGCAGCTTTGGCATGATCCTGCATAGCCTCCATTCTTTATTTGATCTTACTATTTAGCCTTTAAAGTATTCTTTTTCTTGTTAGTAGATTCCTAGGGTAGTCTCTTTGCAATATCCTTAAATACTTTATCAACTCCTTAATTCTATTTAGCAGATACCTCATAGTACTGTAGTCCCATCTCTTTACAGTATGATTCTGCCATTTCTCTAGTCACCTAATGTGATTCAAGATCAATTTTATTTCCCATGATGCTAATGATGATCTCTGGACTAGCTTTTTAATTCAACTCTTCAACCCTTTAGGAATAATTATAATTGAGGCAAGTTTTAATTGAATAGAAGATATTAATTTCAAATCTTACCATCTTTGGCATTTTTCAAATGATTCTTTACTTGTGACATCGAACACGACACAGGCTGCAATTGCATTTCTAAGTTAAACTTATATTGAATATGTGGAGATCTAATATTTAAGCTTACTTGTAGTACATTTAAGCTAAAGAGTGATATCTTTCTTACCCAGCAGTATCCCAAATTTCATACTTTACTATATGATCATCTAGCTCTTCATCTTTAGTTAAGAAACATCCGCCAATAGTTGCCTCATGTGTATTTGAAAATTTTCCATAAGCATATCTTAAAGTGATTATTAGATTCAAATTTAAAAGTTTGATACCTTATTGAAAGACAGGTTTTGCCGACTCCCATATCTCCTAAAAGCACTATCTTATGATTGAATACTGGCTTTCCTGAATAATTGTTAGATTAAGACCTTAGTGGAACAGAAGTGAACTCACCCTGTGTACCTTAATTATTCATTTTTTATGATTAGTAAATTTGATTTTTAAATAATTATACTCTTAGACAAATTTTAAATTAATTTATATTAATAATTAGCAAAATACTTTAAATAAAAATGATATAAAATCAAGCATAAGAGAATTACTATGGAGTAAATTAGCATTTGAATATTCCATAAAATTAGAGAAATTAGGTAATTTAAACTAGATTATAATTTAAAGAGTAACAATCTGAGAGTAAGCAGTTGATAAAGTAACAGGGATGCATTGAATGATTCAATAAACTAGAGAGATTTGAGTTCTGATATAAAAAATGAATACACTGACAGCAGAGGTCCAAATCCTGCTATGTCTGAATACAAATAATATATCTAGTAGGTTGGTCATTAAATGTCTCATAAAAAATCAAGGTATTAATTAATTTTTATCAAAACTGTTATTAGAATTGAAATAGAACGAGAAAAATAAATGTAAAACTAAAATGAAGTTGGAATGGCATCATTGATAATGAATTCAAAATCACATTATGACTAATAATAGAAGCAATATATTAGAAATGTTTCGAATTCCCCTTAGAGAAATCCAAGCATACATACGACTCAGTCTCCAGCATTTTAGGGACCAAAGGCTAAAGGTCTAAATAATTCATTTTCACATGAGAGTGCTAGTCCTTTTACTAAAAATGCTTAAATGATCCTTAATGACTATGGACATCCAATGTAATAACTGCCGCAATAAATGAATAATATTAATCAATAATACAAGCCAGTTACACCATTGATAAATAATCAGCAATAATTCTAGATACTCTAACCAATCTAATCTTAGCAATATCTAGGGGGTTATGTTTAAAATCCTCAAATGATCTAATAGTAGTCTTTTCAACCTTAATAACAAAATATGATCTACAATAATAATCTTAATACCACTCCTCAGTTTTAAGATAATATGAATTTTGGAAATTAGATTTAACCATAGCAACAGAATACGAACCAATCGTTTTCAAATGCACCACCTTCTGGTATGCCAAATCAATTAAATGAAAGTTTCGTAATAGACAATAATTACAAGCCAACAGATTCATTTAAAAATCCATGGACTACAAAACCAAGACCTATGAATGGATTTATGGATCTAAATCCGATAGTCTACGAGCGTTAGGAAAAGGAGAAATAAGACCTGTAAAAAGTACTATAAGAATAAATTGAGGAGAAGAAAAAGAGATAGGATCTAGAGAAAAGAAAAAAGCTAATGGAAGATTAATACTATGAAGAAAAGATTGCAAGGGATAGAATGGAATTAGCAATGAAGGAATAGCAAGAAAGAGAAGCATAATAGTAAAAGATATAAAAAATCTAAGAGCAAAACTAGTAGCTATACCAAGAAAGGTAAAATGAAGTGCCTCCTCCAAAAAGTAAGAGGAGACCACCTTCACCTAAAATTGAAGAGGATATAAAAGTAGAATTACTATAATAGCCAGATCCTAAGAAAGATAAAAAGGAAAAAAAAGAAAAAAAAGAAAAAATAAAAGTATAGACTACGATAAATGACTAATAATTAAAAAATGATTTAAATGAATTATCCATGACTTTTAAAGGAGAACTTGAGAGTATGAGGTAAGTAATATAGAATCAGGATGGAAGTCTGAAGGATGAAGTTAAGAAATTATTAGATTATTAAAAATAAACTGATCAAGATAGAAATAGAGCAATATAAGAAATCTAAAAGTTAAGGGAAGAATTTTTAAGATAGCAAGAGATTAAATAGGAATAGCAGTGGGATTCGTTGTCTAGATCAGCTCATTGGTCAAAGTTCAAAGAAGAAGATCCAATATCTAAACGCTAATTTGAGAGCGAGATTAAGCTTAAGACTATTCTCACAGATGGCTACTTTGGTCAAGATGGAGTTCTAAGAAATAAGAGAATCTAGAGTTTGAAGCATCATTCTGACCCAAATATCAGCTAGAAGAGCAAGGACTCTTTTTATTAGTCATCTAAATTCCTAGACACTAAGAACTTCCCCTTGAATAAAAAAGATAATGATGAAACAGAATTCATTAGAGATCGAAATATTGATAGATTGAAACTGCTTTAGCATTATGAGGAAAATGTAAAGTATAAAAATGGTTTCAATTATTTCAAATATACTGATCAAGAGCAAGAAGACTTGAGCTTTAGACTTAAAAAAATGGATAATTAACTTTACAATCTGCTTAATCCTGAAGCTGAGAGAGTGAAGATAAAAAATGTACCATACAATCTAAGTTCTAATTATGATGTGTACGACCAATAAAAGCATTCTGAAAGTAATTACTATAGAGAAGGTATAACTTAATTAAGTTTTAAGGTTGAGTGATTTTATAGATTAATATATCAATAAAATACTAATTATGATTTGAAAGTTTAATACATAATTTAGACATATTTTTATCTCTCGGGGTTTTGGGGTTTTGGGGTTTTGGGG